AAAATCTACTTATTTTTTCATATTCATGATCTCCATGTTAAAGATTACAAGTCCTTAAAAATTAAGTCCAAAAATCCATCTAAAAAATAAATTTATTAATAGGCCCGCATTTCTACATATTCGGGCTTGGCCGCATAAAAACCGGATCCTCTAGAAAAGGATCGGTGGAGATACACCTATTCATGGACAAGGTTCTACCAAAAGTATTTGTCAAATTTGTAAACTTGTTCATCCCTGCCGTTCATTATCTAAATAGATGGAGCATGCCATCCTGTTCTTTCCAACGTGCAAACATTACACTCCCTTTCGAGAAAACTACCAATGGGACCGAATCTCCCAAGTAGGGAAAATTTATAAGCGATGGAAAAATTGCATTGAGCATTGGGCACATACAAAAACATAACATACACTATGTACTTCCAATATATTTGTTCACTTGTAGAATTGCAGCAAGACCTCTATTATCTTATCCATGTAGTTCAAATCAGTGTGAATGAGCAATTCCGGCCGACTAACCGGTCATGGCCCCAGCCGATTAGTCGGGCCGAGTCCGACTTACTCTGCTCGATTAGTGCTGAGTTGTGTAATGTTTAAAAAATGGGTTAAACAACACCGAAAAAATTATAAAACAATGTTAAAATTTTACATATATTGTTTCTTTATATTATCATATAAAATGTGTGAAACATAGAAATATTGTAAATATATTTGGGTTTCAGACAAAATTTTTAAGCACCTAAGGCAATACTTTTTCATTGCTTAAGTAATTGCAGGAAATTACATATTATACAATAATAAAAAACACTGTTCAAAAGTAGCAAAATTGACGATGGGGTTCCATATTTTCGTGAGTTTTGCTATCAAAGTTGGCTCGGGCAAAAATTGCCGTGAAGCTCAGTGGAGTTTGTAGGGGAGCAGCAATACCTCCTTACCAAGTAGGAATGCTACCCTGTGAAGTTCCTAAGCTATAGAGTTTGAAATTGTCTATGCTCTTTGCCTCCTTGACCTGTGTTTTGCCCATCATCGACGTTATCATTGTCTTGAATAATTAGCATACGGCGCCCACTGCTTGTGTGTTCTGCTTAGGGGTGTAGCTGCTATGCCTGGCTCTCTAGACTTCTTCTTGAACCAATCTAAGCCCCTCTTCTTCCTCAGTGGAGGTCCTAATAACTTGTAACACCTCGCACTCTATAATTGTTGGCTCACGCCAATCATATTGCAGTACCCCATCATCATCGCCGCCTTCATCGTTGTTGACCTCATTGAAGTCATCATCATCTTCCTCCATGTCTTCCACGGCTTCCACCATGTTCCCCTCGTTAATTGCCAGAATTTCATAATTGTCATTCATGTCCGCAACCGATATTTCTAGGAACACTGGATCTAATATTGGTACTTTCTGTGATACCCACTCGTCAGCAAGGTCTATGTGGAAGATGTAATCCAGGTTGATTGAGTTTATAGTAGACATACACAAGGTTATCCAGTGTCTGAGATTCAATAATGGAGCCTATCCATTATCGGACCTGCAAAAAGCTTGTAACACGCTTTTTCCATATCAGGGCAAAAATCAATCGATATTTTTTTTTATAAATCATTAATTAGTCCTGCAAATCGGCCAATTAGTGCCGATAAGTATACAAATTGGCCGATTTGTTCAATAAATTGGCTAATTAGTGCATTTTATGGGTATCACCCAAAGAGTGGTCTATGAAATTGGGACTACTCAGGCTCGACCAGTGCTCGTGTCCGAGTTAATTAGCCGACTTGACAAAAGTCGGCCGACATTTCAGACACTGGTTCAAACACGCATTCATAGTTTTCTAATGTGAATTGGGAAAAATCAAGATCCCCAAATCCTATTCCAAATGGTGTGACAAAGTAAAATGGGTGATGCTACTCCAAATGATACGATAAGAGAAAAGGTATGAGGTAAGGTACTACAAGCTAACTCACTCTGTTTGGGTTCTTGAAAATTAATTTTTTAGAAGTGTTTCCTACAAATAAGGCATTTCAATGATGAGTGTGGTTTCTCTAAGGTTGCAACCTTAAACAATCCAATTAAGGTGCATTTCCAAATTTTGTCGTAACATGAAATTTTGGTGTAAAATATTCTTAGAATTATCTAAAAATCTATTTTCATATCTAATTATAAAATTTTAAACTCCAAAAATAGTTAAAATGAAGTAGATCTATGAACCTATGAAAATTTTGAAAATGACAGTCTAGAAAATGTGTTGTAAGACGTACTATTTCTAGGATTCAATTTTTTTTTTTTCTTTTCGGACTCATACATCTTGATGTTGAGATGATCAATTTGATGGTTTGTCAACATTAAACAACCTTTCCTGATGAATGTTTGAGATGCATCCATAATTCTACATTTTAAAGTTGCAACCTTATATAAACTTTTTCCTTCTTTGACATAAAAATGGGAAGAAAAATCTTCTTGTCATCCCCTTTGTACCCTATTTTTGTCATAAAGATCTTCAAGCTGAAAATAGTATCCTTCACCTCCCCCTCCACCCAAGGATCTTCTCTCTCCTATATCCTCTATGCCCTTTCTCTATCTCTCCAATGAACTCACAAGTCACAATCATCTCTCTCTTATTAAAATTTATGAAAATAATCTTTTTTCCAAAGAAAATAATCTTTTTCCCAGAAGCCAAACAAATTAATGATTTACATTCTTTTGTATTTCACGCATTTAATTTCTCTTGGAGAAATTTATGTACAAACTCAAAATAAGTTTCAGCATTGAAGAATGATCCATAATTATGGCATTTCACAAAAGTTAAGAGTTTTTTTGGGGGCATTTTATTACTTACTCTTGAGTTGAAATTCTAAAATTTGAACCTTCCAAACATAAAATCAACCTTCGGTAGTTCAAAAGTGCAACTTTTCAACTGCCCAAACACAAAAAATATCATGTATTTAAGCGGTTCAAAAGTAAGAATTTTGGACCTCACAAAATACCAAAAAAGAATCATGTATTTAAGCGGTTCAAAAGTAAGAATTTTGGACCTCACAAAATACCAAAAAAGAAAAAATGAATATGCATAACTAGGCATTTGGTCAATCGAAAAGTTGGATTCTTAAATTTCCAAACATTAAGTTTTGCGTTTTTCTTGTTGTTAATGTATTCAAAACAGTTTGATAGTCGGATTTTGAACCTCACAAATGCCTAGCTTCTTTTGTGTTTTAGGCCAGTGCAGTTTGAAAGTCCACTTTCAGACCTCTCAAATATCGTCATTATCATCATCATAGTCTTTTTTCAACTTGGGGTCGGCTATATGAATCCTAGTCCGTCATTCTATTCTATCAAGGGTCAATATTCTAAGTAAGACCATAAGTTGTCATATCTCTTCTCACTACTTCCAATTGTGTTCTTTTGGGCTTATCTCTTGTCCTTTTTGAGCCTTACACTTAAACCAACTCGCATCTCCTAACAAGTACTGTATTGGGTCTATGTTGTACATGACCAGCATATCTAAGTCTACTTTATCTCTGCTTATCACCTATTGGAGCCATACCTTAGTTATCCTAAATGTAATCACTTATCTATTTCAACATCCTCATCTTAGCTATATTCATCTTATAGGTATGTTGTTTATTGACCGCTCAATATTTTGCCCCAAAGCAAAGCTCGTCTCACATTAGTCTTATAAATCTTATTTTTCAGTTTCTTTAGTATGCGGTGATCACATAAAACTCTAGTTGCATATATCCACCTTACCTACGCGGCTCTAATTTTTTGTGCGATTTCATCAATTTCTCTATTTTACTGGATTATCAACCCAAAATATTGAAAGTGCACCATTTTTGGAATTTTTTGACCATCAATCATAACTACTTCCGCGTCTCTACTCTTATTATTACTAAACTCTCATTCCAAATATCGAAACTTTTTTATATTTTGTTGCTTTAAAAGTTTCTCTCGAATTATCCAAAAACATTTTTTTGTGTTTTAGGCAAGTGAAAAAAGTTGGACATTCTAACCCAACAAGGTAAAATCAGAATATAAAAACTCAAAAGTACTAGGCCTCACCTTAAAATATCAAAGAAGCATTTATTGATACCAAAACTTTTGTATTCAAATTTCTCTTAATCTTCGGTCCTTTGTATTTGTTGAGTAGGTAGAGTTAGAGTAAGGGGCGGCTATAGGGTATTCAAGAAATCAACGTTGAGCTTTCCCAATACGATTAGGAGTAGGGCTTGGGCTAGTGGCCCTCGAGCAATGCTACATCTCAAATTCCATTCCTATCACTGAGCTACAAAATAAAAAAGATAATAAAATAAAATAAGACGAGGAAAACACGGCCATATTTGCAATGCTTTTTTCCAATGGTTTAAAAAGCGGATCGGTGATTCAGATCGGGCATTTAAAAAATCGATTCGGATCGAGAATCGACTGAATCGATCGGATTAAAGCTTCAAAAAAATCCGAAAAAATTATTAAAATTCATTATAAATGTTGTTTTTTAGGAATCCAATAAGAATTGAGGGTACTACATTATTAACTTTCATTTTTTTCATCAATTTGTGAATATTGAGATGCTCTTTCCCTGTATAAACTTAAGTATTAAATTTGCATCACATAAAAGAAAAATCATAGAATTATCATGGATAAAACATATAATTATACATGGACTATAATAAAGAGTAGACTAAATCAATGAAAGAATGACCATTAAAATCTCGTTTTGGCAAAAAAACCTAATCCACTAAAGAAACTCAAATTATAACAGCCTAACTAACTATAATCTAAAATTATTACAACATAACTAATTATAATATTATATACTGAAATTATAATTATTAGTTTACATTTTATAATTATTTTATTAGACAAATAATAACAAATTAAAAATATTTTATAATATTATCTAATTTAAAATTTATTATTGACAACTGCAAGAAAAATAGTACATTACATGATTTATAATGTAAAAATTAATAAATAAAATATAAAATTCGGTTATCAATGTAAAAATTAATAAAATGCATACAAATTTTGAAAATAATACTTTAATTTATTATATGCCCAAAGGGGAACAAACAATTAATTTATTATATGCCCAAGGGGGAACAAACAAAAAATAACTAAAGAAGGGATAAACAACTATTATATGGCCCAAGGAGGGATTCAAACTTGAGAAGTTAAAAGCAAATAACATTATTGATAACCATCATGCCTCATGAGCATAGATATTTAAAATTACCTATTAATAGCATATATTTACATTCTGTTTTCATTTAATGATGTTTGAGAATTATCCCACATCGAAAGATGCGTATTCAAATATATATAAATACCTATGTAATTGAAAAATAAGAATAAATGTGAAAATACTAGGGCATCCGTGTACATGTACGCGTACATATGCGAGTCCCACACATGCATGCCCCCACGTGTGATGGCACATGTGTGTGCCACACATGTGCCGCGCACGTACGTGTGCCGCACGTGTGGCACATGTGGGACACGAATGCGTCTCATGTGTGGCACATATGGGAGTGGTATGTGTCGCAAGTGTGACGCGTCCCACATTTGGCACATGTGGAAGTAGTGTATGTTGCACGTGTAATGTGTCCCACGTGTGGCACATGTGGGAGTAGTATAGGAGTAGTGTATGTCGCACGTGTAATGTGTCCCACGTGTGGCAATGTCGGTGTGACGCTTCCCACGTGTGTCACATGTGGGAGTGGTGTCCCACGTGTGGCAATTGTCGGTGTGACACTTCCCACGTGTGTCACATGTGGGAGTGGTGTCCCACGCGTGGCAATTGTGGGTGTGACAATTCCGAGTAGTGTGTGTTACGTCACAACGTGTGTCACATATGGGAGTGGTGTCCCACGTGTGGCAATTGTGGGTGTGATAATTCCCATGTGTGGCCACATGAGGGAGTGGTGTGTGTTGCACGTGTGACGCGTCCCACGTGTGCCCACATATGGGAGTCGTGTGTATTGCACGTGTGATGCGTCCCACGTATGGCAATTGTGGGTGTGACAATTCCCACGTGTCCCATATGTGGCAGTGGTGTCCCACGCGTGGC